GCGTGTATACGTGCGAAATATATAGATCGATCATCAAAATTACTTAATAGAATTCAATCATTTTGGTTTAGTAGTAGCGTTGATTTTCTTTTCTTCTTTTTTGTTTTTGTTTTTTTTTTTAAACCGCGGATACGAGATAGACGTGTTGTCTGGCTAGATCATAGAAAGAGAGAGAGAGAGAGAGAGAGAGAGAGATAATGGAATAAAGATGGTATTTGCATTGATACTCTAAAACATATCTAAAAATCGATGAGAAAATACGTGATACACGTACACACAGATTATACACGCGCGATCATCATATGGGATTCAGAATAATACATTGCACACAATCATACACAACACGCATAAGTAGAATTGCCGATAATTTTGGGACAAGTTTGAAGCAGGCAGCACGAATGATTTTTCGTCGATGAACGTTGTTGAAAAACACTTTCGATGATAACGATAATGGACATTTTGTTTTCCTTACTCTCCGAGGATATATCGTTGAAATTTCTAGAAAGAGAGGACAGGAAGATAAATCAGAAGGGAGAACATAAGAAAAAGTTTCGCATGTTCTCGCCTACGATCGTGCGAGAACACGACGAATAATTCCACGAATTATTAAACAAATAATAAACAAAAGATGATACATTCAAGAGAAGCCGATTATTCGATCGTTGTTGCGTGTGCTATTACCGAAAATGAACAAAATAGAGGCTGCAAATGTTAACAAAATAGAAAGAAAGAAAGAAAGAGAAATAAAAAAAATGATGGTGAAAATAAAAGGGTGGAAATAATGGAAAAAAAAAAAGAAATGTGAGAAACAGTTCGTACGACAATAAGGTATCGATTAGTTTAATCAGAGATGAAATAATGTAAAATATACAAGTGCAAAAGAAGCGGTATACATTATTATATTTATTATAACTGTGCGTAAGAGTGTATGTGAGAGAGAGAGAGAGAGAGAGAGAGAGAGAGAGAGAAAGAAAGAAAGAAAGAAAAAAAATGCGGTGTACTTATATTGACGCGTATCTCTCTCGTGTGTCGATGAGGGAGAAGAAGAATGTTTAGCAAATAGATAAAAAATAAATAACGGAATTTAAAAAAGGAATAGATTAATTTAATGAATAAATAGCGAAAGATGGATGTTGTGTCCTGAAACGACGAGAATAGTCGAGATGAATGAATCTTAATGGTTAGTAATTAAAAAAAGAAAAGGAAAAAGAAAAAAAAAGCAGATTGGTCTCTCTCGTTTCAGTTAAGAATGAGAATTAGAATGAATTAAAAAGAAAATGTAAAGAACGACGACAACGACGACGACGATTGATTACTTGGAGAAATCACGGGAGAGAGTCGCTGAAGTTATGGGGGTAATTGCGAATCAGGGGGACTCATCCCCTTCAGGGTGTGTGTTAAAATACCAAAGGATTGTAGAAATATTAACGAAAAAAAAGACGTATATTATTAATAATAATTATAAGTAAGGCAAATGAAAAAAAAAAAAATACATTATTTATTGTTTACACCTATGTGTGCGTTTAGCAAACAATGTGGCTATGAACATGACCGTGTATTATCGAAAGAGTTATGTTAGCCCGAGTGGTATGCAACAATTTCAAAAAAGGCAGAGAGGGAGAGAGAGAGAGCAAGAATGGAAGAATATATGACGATATTGAGTTTTGCGAATCCATTTTAGAAAGAGAGAGAGAGAGAGAGAGAGAGAGGGAGAGAGAGAGAGAGAAAGAGAGAAAGAAATAGTATGTCTGCTTGGGTGTGTGTTGCGTCCGTGTGCGAGAAAGAAAATAAACGGAAGTGAGATCGATATTTACAAATGTTGGAATCGAATCCGAGTTACTTAACGTTCTTTTTTTGATCGAATTTAAGTGAAAGAAAAGAACGTTTTTCTCTATCCTTGTAAATTTCATTTGTTCAAATTCTCTCGTATTTTTATTCGTTCTAGGGGGTTCTTTCAAAGTTCCCTTCTTTGCAAAAATTTATCTAACGCGTGAATAAAACAAAAAGGGATTATTTATTAAACGAATGTACTTTAAATGAAAACAAAGAATTCGATTCCAACATGAAATAATGAAAAAAATAAAAAATTAATAAAAATAAGAAAAAAAAAAAAAAGCGGCGCATAACTATTTAATAGAAGCGCGTCCGATCATCGAGAAGCATGAGGCGGAAACTGTAAACTATTGTAAACTACCAATGTTACTACGTTTTACGAAGAGCTTATTGTAGTCGAGGAAAGAATAACCAAAAGAAAAAAAAATACCCATTAATTAATAAAATTACACACACAAATACACATATACACACCACTATAAACATACATGAACACGAACACACACGAATGTACACACGAGTGTACACACGAATAAAACATTGATACAGATACATATAACTACACGCTTACGCGCGAACAAATAACAATTTTAACAAAATCGTTAAGTACGAGCAAGCAAATAAACAAAACGAAACAAAAAACAAAAAAATACCAAGGTATTGAGTGTAGCACGAAAAAAAAAAAACTTCTTTACACTTTTGCACGAGACGTGTGTTGTAACTTGAATTAATTATTATTGACATATGTAATTAACATTTTATTACTTAGCAATTAAACTTAATTTATTTATGATTAATCGAGTCGCTTGTGTTGATCGGGTCCCTTGTTGCTAACGGTTAAAACCAAACAAAAAATAAATACGGATATAGAGAGAGAGAGAGAGAGTGAGAGAGCGAGAGCGAGAGCGAGAGAAAAGAGAGAAAGAAAGAAAGATGCATGTATGAAAAAATAATAATAATATCCATAAGCGCACCGCAATCCTTTTACACAAATAAAGCGAAAGATGTGCAATCGACGATGTTTGTTTGTCGAAGTAAAAACTACTACTACTACTACTAATGCTGCTACTATTACTACTACTACTACTACTACTATTACTACTACTATTACTATTACTATACTATTACTATAAGAAAAGAAGGCATCTATTATTCAAAATGTTGAAATATTTTGTAAGAATTTTCACTGTCTACCCAAACGACAAATTTTATCTTTCATAAACATCAGTTTTTGACAAAATCTCAATTTTAATAGTCTTACAATGAAATGAAACAAGGAAAAAAAGGAAAGACTTATACTAATCACATTTTTATCGTTAAATCTTCTTTATCCTTGGGGGGAAAAAAAAAAAGAAAAAAAGAAAAAAAGAAATTAAAAGAAGATATAAAAAAAAAAAAAAATAAAAATATATAGATGCCTTCGTTTTAATCACGAGAGATCTAGTCAAATAAATGACAAATTTACTATCGGAACCAAGTCAGTGATTAGGAAATATTTCTATAAGTGCTTTTTGAGAGAAACAAAACAAGAAAAAAAGGAAAATTCAAAAGAAACACAGGAAGAAAAGCACAAAAAATGGATAAAAAGTAAATGGTTGACCCTCTCGTATGCGAGGAGGGTGTGCGATAGACCGTCTTGTTATTTAATGCAACATGGAATTCCAAACAGGAAACTAAAGGGATTCGTACTTGTTGTTTTAGCATATTTTGGGATCTACTTATTAATGTTGTTTTTTCAATGAGTATAATAAGAACAGCAAGAATTCAGCAAAAATAACAAAAGGTGACAAAGACAACACACACACACACACACACGCACACATACACACATACCACTCATACCACATATTACAGTGTTGTAAATGATCTCTGACCGCGTTTAAATTGCGAGACGGACTAACCCTTATACATAACTGTAGTAACAATATAGATTTTTATATTTTCATTTAGTATGAAATTAGTCTAAAAGCACTGAATATATATATATGTATAACATATATATATATATACATATATATATATTATATTTGTACGGAGACCTAGTTACTAGATGGAGTATGAATGAAAATCATTTTCGACGTTGTAAAGTTAAAGGAAAATAATACCTAATTAAAAGAAGAAAAAAAATTAAAAAAAAAAAAGAAAAAAAACAAATAAATAGGAATTGTATTAGGAAAAGGAAGATAATGAAAAAATACGTAAAATTGAAAAAGAGAAAACTGAAGGAAGAATAAATTAATAATGGACGACGAAGAAAGCGAAGAACATACACACATACGAGCGCGCGCGCGTGTGAGTGAGAGAGAGAGAGAGAGAGAGAGAGAGAGAGAGAAAGATAGATTTAAATAAAACGTATAATCAGGTGATAATATGTCGCTAGAACCAATTGCTATAAAAACAAAACATTAAACAACAACAAAATAATAATAATGAAGGCACAGCTATATCACACTTATCGATTGTAAATAATAGTTTAAATTAGATTATCATTTCGACCAGTAAATCATAGTGTGTAATACGATGTATTCTCCAAATATTTATTGTAATCCCATACTTCTCTAATTATTCGAACATATTTTCATTTCGAAGCTATATATATATATATCGTTTATCTAATTTTCTAACAAAACAAATAGAAAGATGGAAGAAAATCATATCCATAAGAGGAAATTCCAACAAGACACGTAATACCACATTGACAATCTTTTTACGTCAAAACTTTATTTAGTGTTTTGCCAATCATTATTTTTTTCTTCATTTCTTCTATATACTAGATTATTATTACGCTTACGGATTTTTGTGATTTCGTGTAATACATAAAACGAATAAAATAAAAAAGAAGAAGAGGATGATAAAAAATAAAATGATAAAAGAAGCTATTGACAACAAGAAAAAAAATTGTGAAATATTGAAGAATACGTCGAATAAATAAGCAATAATTATTGATTACGTTTGTGGTCAAACGTTAATTCGTGGATAGTAAAGAATCTGTTTAAAATCAACTTTATTATTCGTATATATAGTTTCTCTCTTGCAATATTTGGAAGTCATACAAATATAATATATATATAATACACATTTATGAAAGATAAGAAGAAATTATTCGTAGCAAGTCATGTCTAAGAAAAAAAAAAAAAAAGAAAAGGGGTAATTGAAAACATCAAACGTTAATGATTACTAAATGATATATATATTTAAATGTATTAACAACTTTACGGTAGTTTTAAAGGTGGAATTACTTTGTCATAACCTGACAGAAATAAGAAGAAGGAAAATGTGTTATCCAGCGAATGCAGCTATTCCTGTGATCGCTCTTCCGAGTATCAAAGAGTGTATATCGTAAGTACCTACATGAACAACAAATCAAACCTATTGTAAAATAACACAAATTGTGCACATACATATATGTATATACGAAGATAAGTTGATTATTATCCACAATTAAATAACATATTAAATTTGAAAATTCATACCATCATTAAATTACGGATAATAATGGACTTTTCCATCGTACGTACGTCGATCATGTTATAATCGCTCGTATACAACATTAATATAGGTATTTAGATTTCCGAGTAATATCGTGAAAATACAAAATTTCACTCCGAGTCATCGATATCAAGCGTTTCATTAATCTTAACGCGATAATCGATTTAAACCGACTATATTTTACGTCAAAATGTTCTCCTCATACCTTCGTAAGTGTTAACGGATTCGAGATTCATCATGTGCCTAATGACGTGATACTCGTCCGATATGCCATTACCACCTAACATGTCTCTCGCGGTTCTAGCAATTTCTAACGCTTTGCTAGCAGAATTTCGCTTCAACATAGAAATCATCTCCGGATTTGATCTGAAGGGGAAAAAAGACGTAATCAATTAGAAAACAAAAGAAAACTAAATAAATCAATATCAGTGATTTAAGATTAAGATTCTTAATGTACTTATGTTCATCCATTAATCTTCCAACGCGTAAACAAGCTTGAAGACCAAAGGCTATATCGCACATCATATTAGACAATTTCGCTTGTATTAATTGATTGGCAGCTAATGGTCTTTTAAATTGTGATCTCGTTAAAGTATACTCTCTGGCTATTTGAAAACAATGTTCGGCTGCACCCAAAGCACCCCAAGATATTCCGTAACGAGCGTTGTTTAAACAACTAAATGGTCCCTACGTACATATCATTTTTTTTATTTTTTATTATTACTTATAACTCGATCTCTTATTGTTAGTATTAATAATAATTAAATGTAGATCTAACTTTCAAACCGTCTACACCCGCTAATAAATTGTCAGTAGGTACTACGACGTTATCCATGAGTATCATTCCAGTAATAGAACTTCTCAATGAAAATTTTCCTTCGATTTTCGGTGTTTCCAATCGATTCTGATTTCCTTCTCTTTCTACTATAAATCCACGAATTTTATTATCCTCGCATTTTGCCCATACGATTAATATATCAGCAATGGGTGAGTTTGAAATCCTATTTTTTTTTTAAATAGATCAAAAATGAAACTTTTCATATAATGTGAAATAAAATTGGTGCAGGAAATAATGATAAATTTACCATGTTTTGCTTCCAGTCAATTTGTAAACTTTTTGATCCTTGTCATAAACAGCTTTAGTTTCAAGACCTCCTGCATCACTGCCATGATTGGGTTCGGTTAAACCGAAGCTACCAATTAAATCCCCGGAAACTGCAAAATCGAAAGATCAAATTTGTACGGAAGGAGATGATGATGACACCGATTGATACTTACTAAGTTTAGGAAGAAATCGTTCCTTTTGCGTCTCATCACCGAATTGATATATACAACCAATAACCAGGGAGGATTGTACAGACATAGCTGATCTGTATCCGCTATCAATTGCCTCGATCTCTTTTGCTAAAAGTCCATAAGCAACGGAAGAAACATTGGAAGCTCCATAACCTTTCAATGTGCAGCCCAAAACACCAAGAGAACCCATCTCCTTAATGATTTCCTTATGAAAATGTTCTTTCCGATTGGCCTCGATTACTCGAGGCATTAATTTTTCACGACAATAGTTTCGAAATTGATCTCTGATCGCAATCTCATCTGCTGTTAATTGAGACTCCAGATCGAATGGATCATTCCAGTTGAACGCATCTTCGGGAAAAACATTTTTATTATATTTTAAGATAAGTTGTGTAATCAAATTAACTGTTAATTATACAAATCGACGATCATCTTCGCACAAAAGGTTTTATAAGTATTGGGCATCAAGTTTTTTTTTTTGCTGAAAAACCTGAGAAATTCTGTAAAGACGAAATATTGAAGTTACCCATGAAGATGGAGAAAGGTTGCTACAAACCCTAACTGTAATACAGATAGCGATATTGCCGACAAGCCACCGATAACTATTTACCGACAACTGCTGCTATCTATACGTACAATGAATAATTAACAAGTATAACAAAACAACAAAAGTTAATAACATTGTATAATATTATATCAATGTCTTTTTTTCTCCTTTCACTGTTACAAATTCTATTGAAATAAAATTCTAAAAAATATATATAACTTACTTTTATTTTGCAGGCTTGAAGCAATGGAGATTTCTGGTTACGGATGCTCGATCGTTAAAGAAAAATATATAAATTGTTTTTTTTTGTTTTACGATAATGCCAAAAATTGTTCGCTAATTATATGTTTCAGGAATCGATAAATAATTGAAATAAAACTATTCTTCTTTTGAAAAGGATACGTCTGTTGAAGTTTCTTTGGTATGAACTTAAAAACTTTAGGAATCTACTTGATACACGTGCTGCTGCCATCTTGTCTGCTGTTCGATAGAGTACTGAATTGCTAACATCAGTGACGTTATTTATTTTTCTGTCTTCTGTATACAACAACATATTTCGAATACAGAGATAAATATGATATCTTATGGTAATAAATGTGCCTTACATTATCTGTTCATTTTTATATCATTACGTAGTTATTATTTTATACAAATATTGCATACGTAAATGAAAAGAAACAAGCAATATAATCGAACGTCTTGATTTAGCAACCTATTTTTTTTTTTTTTTATCATCTTTATGTTATTTCATTCGAAACAGATTAAAAAGAAAATACAATAGACGAATCTCTACTATTTGCTAAATCTTCATTGTACTTATCGAACATAACATATTATAAATTTGTACAACAAATGATAAAATATGGAGCAGAGAGGGGGAATAATAAGAAAACTTATCGAAATCTTAACAGATCAATATCATTGATTTATTTGTTAAATATAAGAAATTCTTTCGTTTAATTTATATACAGTTATCATTTCTTTTAATCATTACTACTATGTGATTTATATATTACAAATGATAGGAGAGATTACAATTAGTGACTAGATTTTCTCAACTTGTATACATGTTTAGATGATAGAAAAATTGATCGCGTTTAAAAGTGCATTCTTTGATTTAAATTGAAGTTGAGTGAAATTTGATTGCTTCAACATGAATGAAATATATCATACAAACTATGTTTGTTCGTTGTCTATAATAGCTGGAGAAAATTTGGTTCCATTGTCAACGCGAGATTCACTATACTCGGCAGTCTAATAATAGGACGGAATCGTTCACTTTTTTCGACACATTTGTTTGTTGTGCTTATTCACTCATTTGCTAAAATAATGATCTCTACAAGACAAGACTATTTTACAAATTGTTCTTATTATTTATATACTGTTCTTTTTAACCGAGTATTATATTCATGCTACCTGTCCGTAATGTGTCTACATTACGTAAATAGAAAAGAAAATGTAGAAATATTTGTAAATTGAATTTTCATACAATAAGAATGTCGTCTTTTCTTTCGGGACCGTCTGGTAATTTTTGATTAAAAACGCGTATATTGTTAAAGAGATATCCAAGGGCGTCAGCAACGGGACGAACGATGGCTTGTACGAAAGCTGTGAAAAAGTTTCTGGTAGCTGCACAAGTTATTTTCCATACACGAAGACAAGGGGCCACACACCATATGTGCTAAATGAAGACAAATATGCATAGACACTTATGTGAATCGCATTATCGATCGTATTTGAATAAATGTTTACCTCGAAGGCAAGACAGGCGAATGTAAATCCAAGGCAAAGTGCTAGCAAGGGTGCAACCAAGACCGAGAGAAATATGTAACAGCAACCCCTCGAAAGGCGAAAACAGTGGCCACTCAAGCGCCAAGCGCACTCGGGACTTCGAATGCCTTCCGGTTCGCCGATCACATCGTCCCACATCACCTGTTGTCGGATTTCAATATTTTCTTTGTTTTATTTGAAAATCATCGAGATTCACGGTTATTCAACAATTGCAAAATTTACTTGAAGATGTTGGTTGAGATTATTCGGATCCCTGTCTTCAAGATCCATAGCACTGGCACCGTCGGCGGATGATTCCGGTTTTTCCATTCCTGGAAGATGAAAGTTGCAGTTCGGTGTTGGACACTGACAGGCGTTCTTCAATCTAGCCAACATCCTTTAAACGTTGGCTTCAATCTTTCTTTTTCGTTTAACAGTTAAAAACGAATCAATGCTTTCTCGCCAATATGAATACCACGACGAACTGCATTAATATCGCGAATGAATACTAAAGCCACACTGGAATGCGACAAAGTATCCTAACATTGATCATTTTTTCTTTTAATAATATATTATATCCAGAGTTATACCGTATGGCGAGATTTCACGATGATCCCGCTTTACGATCGATCTTTATCGAAACGATAAAATGTATCCAAAGAAAAAAGAAAAGGGCAACAGAAAGACATTTTTATTTTAACAAACAATTAATTTATTCATACGAAAAGATTATTATTATTATTTAATACTAGTATACGATTAGGAAAGAAAATCAAATTAACGACTCGAACGGTTTGCAATCTGTATTACGAGTGAGTCGAAAGAAAAATGTATCGAAGCGATAGCGTGGCATGTACAAAAACTAACTTGCAAAACTATATAAAATTTACTTGTGTGTGTGTGTGTGTGTATGTGTTCTACCTTGAATTCAACGTCATAATCGCAAGAAAATATCGATTCGCGAAAATAAAGACCGTGGTTTATAAGTGTTTGGTTTTCTTGTAGACATTTGTTTCTTTTTTTTTTTTTTTTTTTTTTTT